ACAAGATAAAAAAACCTTTTTTTATCTACCATTGAGTAACATATTTGGTTCGTGCAGTGACCATTTTTGGTTTAAGTATAAAGATAAGACAGGCTTGAAATATTTTTTAAAATAAATTATAAATAATTAAGCTTTAATGTATGGCCCTCGTATTAAAAATTTTTAATTTAAATCTTAATTTAAAAAAGAAAAAACTTGAGAATATAAAAAAATATTTTTTATTATATAATTTAAATTTAATATATCAAAACATATTAATAATTTTTTGATACACCAAGTGATAAATGAGGTATTCCTCACATTTTTTAAACAATTATCCCCTAATTTAATTTAAAACTTAAATTATATGGTCATGAATCTAAACTTTAATACCCAACCTCTACTTAAAAAAAAAAATTCATTTTACTAAAACTTCCAAAATATATGCCAGCAGTGGATATTAGTAAACTGACTGGGACCTAAACACGAGGAAATTTCTTGAGATCTTTTTTTTTTTATTGAAGTGGGATGCAACTCAAAGCTTACATTTATTAAATTTATTAAATTTAATATGAGAAACTTTTAATGGAGAGAGGTGATCGCTATGATGAGCTAATTTCATTTTAGCAACTGTACTAATCTGTTTAAGTAATATAATGATGAAAATAAAGTATCGTCTCACAGAGACCGTAATCTAATTAAGTACTAAAATTAATCAATTCTAATTTTATTTGAACAATTAAAATTAAATAATTTGAATAAAGTAAATAACTAAACTAATTAAAGAAAAACTAAATTAACTTTGAGTAATACCAAGAATTAAAAGTCTAAGGCATCAGACTTTACCATCATCAATTAATATAGAATTTAGATCAATATACTTCCAAGGTATTTATTATTTATGTGACAGCGGGATTTCTTATTTTATTCGATATACTTTCTCAAGTTATACCAAACCTATCTTCACTTATTAACCCACTATATCTCTATGTGAATTTAAATAGATAAAGATGCATTATGTTTTATAAAATTCCTTAATTTAGGTAAAAAATTAAGTTCACTTATCACTAATGTTACACAAATCACGTTGGTCCATCTCTGGTTTTCGTTCAATTCATGGTATATATTACTAAAAGCTATTACATAAAATCTCCTCTCGGTTTCAATTATGCTCTTCAAATCAGTTTTAATGGTGACCAACCATAAAAAAGCATTAAGAACAATAATATATACTCTACATGAAATAATAACCCTTGAAAATATAAAAATCATGAAATCCTATATTAAATTTATCAGGCTACATCGTAGCCGGCAAAATTAGTTCATACCAAACATGATCAAATCTGAGATTAAATTGATGAACCATAATTCCATATCCAAACAAAAGAAAAAAGAAGTTTAGAAGAGCAAAAACCCAATTTGTGAAAATCAAATCTGTAGCCTTCATTGTTGCGCTTGTCCCTTTGTTTTGGATTGAAGTGTCCCAGTGGTTGCCTTTGCGTCTACCGTCACTCACACAGAATCTGCGCAAGCTCTGTCTCAAACTCGCCTCCAAGCATGCCGGCTGCCTCTTTTATTTCTCCATCCCCCTCTCGGAAGTCCTCCCCTTTTTATATCCAAATATGTGCGAAAATTGGGTGCCCTTCTTTTTCTAAGCCCATCTTATCTCCTTGTGGAGATAAAGCCCACCATGTTTTGCCACGTGTGTATGCAGAAGACAATTTCAATTCTGGTCTTTGAATGGGAAAATCATGGAATCAGACTTGATGTTTTCAGCTTTTGTCACTTAAGTTCATTTACTCTAGATTTTTTTAGTTTTACCCTTTACCTACAAAAAATAATAAAAGTAATGTAAAACCAAATAAAATCGTTCCAATAAAATATAAAAGATTACAATTCATGACTAAAAAACCATATATAATTGTATGAAATTTAAGCTCATCACGCTACGCCACAACAACGTTCTGGAAGATTCTCTTGAATTGGCTAGACTTCCTTGGAAATTCAAACCTTCACAGTGATAGTCCATAGGTCAGCGATGATGACATCTTGAGCTGCCACGTGACATTTTCTATCACCCTATATTTGCGACACGTGGTTGGCATGCAGAAGTTGGGAGGCTCAATCGGTATTGATGAGGATGACTGGCGGATGAGTAGATGAGGACGAGGCGACCAAAATACACGGCTATCGGGGACCCATGCGATAAGTGGATACCTTTGCCTGCTCCTATCTCCACACGTGCTACTTGCTCACTGAATTTACCCTTTTGTTTGAGGCTTTATTCCCAAAAAGGGTCTCGCCGGTTATTCTTTGAAACGAACCAAATCAAGTGATTTTCTAAAATTTTAATTTTGAACCAAACCACACATATATTTATCTTTTTTTCATTGAATTCAAATTGAGGCAAACTAAAATTGGTTTCTTGAAATTCAATTCAATTGAACCTCTTCCATTAGCAAAATATTAGTGTAATTGCAAAGAATCTTCAATTTTTCTTTAAATCCAGTCTTTTGAGTGAATTGATATACAAAATCTAAAAATTGATTTTGAAATAGACATTTTGATATTTAAATTGGTAATATTCTGATCTATTCAACAGAAATAGAAAGAAAGCTTTAGGTCAATTTCAAATATCTACAATATGTGACCCTCGGAGGTATTTATAAGTTTTAAGAAGATATTGATGTGATTCTTTTAGCAAAATAATTGAAATATGACGTGGGTAATAGAGTAAATATCTCAGAAAAAGAGATTAGTTAGGAACAGTCTCACCATACCTATTATGCAACTTGAAAATTAAAAAAAAAAAGATGATGATTTTGGCTCTGGTCATCAAGTCATTTAACCTTGGTCATATCTAATATAAGGTAATAAATAACTTTTATTGTTTGTTTCAGAGTGTCTAATATCATTGATCTCAAATCTATACTTACACTTAGGCATATTATTATATAGACACAACCAAAATGATCAATTGAAATAAATTGAGTTAAGTTAATGAGTTTAGTTTGATTATATATATTTGATTATTTATAAATATATGCGGTAAATCACAAAAAATAACAAATTAATATAAAATTGAACAATAACATTATATATAACAAAACTCAAATGCATAAAAGTTAAGTGTTATGTCTTTTATATACCTTAACTATTGAGGCAACACATTATTTGTATTAAACTAAGAACCAAGAGGAAACCAAACCTCAACAGAAATCAAATTGAAATTACACCAAACAAAACCGTTCATTTTTGGTTCAATTGGATTCAATTTTCCGGTTTGATCTTAGAACAATGCATGGTCCAGGGCATACAGCCCACGGTGACATAGCCGTAATTTAGGACAGCACTCTGGGGTAAAAGAGGAAAAAAAAGCAGGGATGCTTTGTTACGAAGGAAACCACTTAGAGCCCGGTTCTGGTTCGTGAAGGTTCGGGCGACACGTGCCAGCTGTCCACAGCTTTGGAACAACCAACGGTCAATAAGAGAGTTCCACGTCATCACTAAGAAAATATCAGAAATATCTAGAGAAATGCTATAAATAGGCATCGTCCGCAAACCCCTCAAAGATTTTGGAGTTCCACTCCCTGAGTACCGAAAAACAGAGATCTGAATCTTGTCTCGAAACCACCGAAACACAAGATACTTTCAGTGTTCTTTCCAGAACAACAGCCGAACAAGTGGAAGACGATAACCGTCGCCCTGTCTGAATTTCTTCAAGCTTTCAAGATTCTACTTCAGTTGAGAGAACTTCTTCCGCCGTCATGCCGTCAGAGGATTTTGCAAGGTTGGTTTTGCTTTCCACACTTTTGTCTTGCTTTAGTTCCTTAATTTGGGCCTTTTTTTACGGGTTTTCTATTTAATTGTTTAATTCTCATGGGGTTTTAAAAAAAACCTGTTTCTTTTTTTCCTGAATTTTAGCTTAAAGGTTTTGGGGTTTCATTAGTGGTGTTTGTTTCCTGTTAGTTTCCCGGAATTTCTGGGAATTTTGAGTTAGTCCTCTGTTTAATTACTTGGTACTCAAGGAAATTAAAAATTCACATGATACTTGGAATTGGGTTTTATAATATTATCTTTATTTAATTAAAGAAGATCTTTACTCTAATTAATTGCTTGGGGTTCAAGTAGAAAGAGGAATAAATAGGAAAATTGATAAAGAACTGTTTTTGGGATTGAGGAGTAGCTTTCCTTTTTTTAGAGTTTTGTGGTACTATTGTTCTTGATTTTGACTGCTGTTATGGTTTTGATTGATATCCAAGTTATAGGAAATTTCGATTGGGTTAAAATTATTACATCTGGGTGTTGCATTACATTATGAAATCATTGCAATTGAACTGAGTTAATTTTGTGGAGATGAATTCTTTTGGTGATGAGCCTAATAGGAATTTTATGCATCTTGATTCTTCCAGGAAGAGAAAGTCGAGGAGTAGATGTGATGGTATTTCTGTTGCTGAAACTCTTAAGAAGTGGAAAGAATATAATCAAAATCTAGGTACTTGTAATGATGAGGGTAAACCAGTTCGTAAGGCACCTGCTAAGGGCTCGAAGAAGGGGTGTATGAAGGGTAAAGGAGGGCCAGAGAATTCAACCTGTAATTACAGAGGGGTTAGGCAGAGGACATGGGGCAAGTGGGTGGCTGAGATCCGAGAGCCAAACAGGGGAAGTCGACTTTGGCTTGGAACTTTTCCTAATGCTTATGAAGCTGCGCTAGCGTATGATGAAGCTGCAAGGACAATGTATGGTGAATGCGCCCGCTTGAATTTGCCCCATATCTCTTCAAAGGATTCTTCTACTTCAGTTGCCACTTCATCCGGTAGTTCTTCAGTTGCAACTCCATCAGTTTCCTTTTCTGTGCCAACTCCTCTAGGTTCTGACTCCAGCACAACATCAAACCTTTCTGAGATTTGTGATAAAGTTTATCATTTTAATGATGGAGATAGTGACTCTCAGATGGATATCAAGCCGCATATTAAGCTTCCTGCTGTCTCTATGGTTCCTTTGCCAAGTACTCTACTGAAGCCTACAGAAAAGAAGGAAAACCAAGATGTGAGACAACATGATGGATATACTAAAAGTGACATCAAACATGAAGCAAAGGAGGTCAAACCAGAACAGAAAGCCACAGATGCACCAGTGGATGATACATACCTTGAAATGCTTGATGCACTTTTGCGCAATTTTTCAATGGATGAATTTTTTGACCCTAATGAGCTGCTGGGATCTTTGGACGACGCTCCCTTCCAAGGCTTAGTGTCAAATCAAGATGTTTCTCAGTTGGATTTGCATGGTGCTGGTGTTTCAGAGTGTCTGAAACCATCTGCTTTGTCATATCAGTTGCAGAATCCAGATGCGAAGTTGTTGGGAAGTCTGGATCATATGGAGCCATTTGGTGAGCAGCAGGATAACTTCTCAGTGGAGGATCCAAGGTTCCTTGATCTGTAGCCTCTCCCTTGAAGAGAATGTTTGTGGTTTACGTTGAATATACACGGTTGCATAGATCCATTTCCTCTTTTATCTAGGACGCTGTAGTCTGTGTCCAGCTATAGAGAAAATATGACCCTCTTGTTTATTTTCTGCTTCACTTAAGTGAATGAGCTGATTCTCTGGAGGTTTTTTATATAGGGAATTTAGCCAGAGTCTAGTCATTTACCAACGGAACAAAGTTGGTATTTGATCTCAATAATATCTGTACCCTGTTTTCCGCCATTCTTTTATTGCATTCTTAATTTGTTCCTGTATGTTCGTTGGTGTTCTTTGTGCTAACAGGAATGAGGAATCCCATATTGAAGGAAAATAATAGATTCTAGTCCTTAATATTAGTTTGCTATTTACTGCACTATCGCCGGGCTTCGTAACGCGAGCTTGTAACCCGAGTGGGGGCTTTAAGATGGCTGGATGTTGGCTTGATCCAGATGGTTGGATCTGTCGAGCTAGTTTCTGGCTTGCCCGATCCAAGAAGGGAGTTGGGCCATGTGTCTTGAGCGAAGGCTCTGGGGCACGTGGTCCTTAGAGTGGAGGGCACCGCGTGAGGCTGGTTTCACAGAGCAGCGAAAACCTTCTGCTCCCTTCAGTGGATGGATAACAGGCCGATGCTCAACAGGTCCAGTTGTGCCTGATGGGCCATTCCCAACCAGACAGCTATCTTTTTAACATTATTTAGGTCATGAGGGACAACAATATATTTTCATTTCCAGAAACAAGAGACAATTGGCATTTAACCAAAAACAAATTTTGACACCATAAAAAAGAGGAAAACACTAAAACAATTTGACCTTTTTTTAAAAAAAATTATTTAAGAGGGACCTAAAACAATTTATTAACTCATGTTCATTACATGACCTCCTTTATGTTCATTTCTTTTTATCGAAAATGACGATTAATGTGACCTTTATATTGGTTAGCTTATTTGTTTGGCCCTTTTTCTTTATCTAAAATGACTATTAATGTCACTATCATATACAATATATTCTTTAATCTATTGCGTGACTTGTTCTTTATCTAAGATGATTATTAATGTGATGGTAATTATATCACCATTATGATCAATTTGTTACTATCACTATCAAAACAAAAACGTTGTGTGGAAAATACGGATCTTAATAATTCTTCAGTTAGATAGTAAACTATTACTACTCTTTAAAGGTGAAACATAGCCCTTGCCTGATATAGTAAGGAAAAAGTGTTGTGTAGTTTTGACTGTATTGACTTGCATAACACTAACTATTGAATTGGGGTAGACCTATTGATATTAAGTGTTTTCTTTTATTTAATTTTTTCGGTATTAACCTCTTGGTATTCGATAATCATATTGGGTTTTGACTAATTTAAAATTGAGCCGCGTCATACCTCACAAAGAGAAAACTCTCTCAACGCTTATTTCTTCATTTGTAAGACTCAAATTCGAAATCTTACTTAAAGGAAGTTGAGTTTTTTTCACTCGGATTAACAAGTCATTGGTTCTCTCTTGTTTAATAACTATTGTTTTGTAATTTAAACTACAAAACATGATATAATAATTATTAAAAACATTCTTTTTATTTTTATTTTTTACAATTATTAAACACGTTCAAAACATTTGTAACTAAGGAAAAAGGAATAATAACCTAACTATAGTAACGTGGTTTCTATGGACAACTATATTTAGAAAAAGGGCAAATCGTACCTACCCCTTTGTGGAATAGAGTGTGTGCACTTATTAACTCTCCAAATCATAAAATTGTGCATATAAACTTCATGTGGTTAAAACAAGTACAGTTAACTTCTCAAATGACAAAAAATATGCTCTTAGCTTCTTTATAGTTTAAAAATGTTCATTTAGTTCCCTCAAGTGTTAATTATTAACTTGGGAGGTCAAATGCACAATTTGCAAATCACAAGTTGATTATGTTATCAGCACCTTTTCATAATTCATGAGTTAAATACATATTTTCAAATCATAAGTAAGTAAATACACCTTTTTTAAAGCACTTAATCCTTGTGGCCCAATAGATAATGTTATTGAAAAAGTGCATATCTCCCTCTCCTAGGTGGGTTTCGAACCCACCCATGACAAAAAGTTCAAAAAAAAAAAAAATACACCTTTTTTAAAAGAAAAATTTTAGAGATCAATTGCACCCACATCAGACTACATGGGTGTAAAGTGCAATTTCTCCTAAAAGAAGGGGCAAAAGTATTTCAATAATGCAGTAATGCTCCCGATCTACATTCCACATATTGGGAGACATGCGTCCCAATCAAATCAAAATTACATACTTTTTTTTTTTTTTTGAAACAAATTGGTAAGATCATATTCAACCGTGACCATAAGGGAAAATGTAACTATATATGAATTGACGGCACTGAATTAAAGGCTCAAATGCAAAATTACATACCTTTGCTCATCACAAGTTTTGAAATTGTAGTCTCCTAATCCAATTAGTATAACAAATTTAATTTTTTTTAAAAGGAAATTTATTTATTTATATCTTACTAGCCTCACAAAAAAATAAAATAAAATTAGAGCGGTGCTATAGGAATAAATTTTTTATTTTATCTTTTAATACAATTTTCACATATTATTAAATAAATGGATATATTTAATATTATAGATCTTATATGAATTAAAAAAATTAATTATTTTAATGACACATTAAATTATAAAAATAAAAAATAAAAAATTATACAAAAAATATTTCTCATTAAATTAACACTTACCAAAAAAAATGACGTTAATTAAAAAATTATTTTACAATGATTACGTTACTTTAAACAACTATAGTCAAAATATTTGTAATAATTGTAAGAATCTTTTTTAAAAGAATAAGATTTCACCTAAAAGGTAATACTATATATTTCAAATTATATTATACTATATAATATAAATTATTAAATGTGATAGATTTAATATAAAAAATTACCTTTCTTGTTAAATTAAATAATTTATATTTAATAATTATACAAGTTTAAATTACAAAATAGATAATTTTTTAAATAACTCTTTTTAAAAAAAATTGAAAACTAATTATAACACGGTGACAGTGTGTGACACTAAGTAATTAAGCCGTGAGTTCATGCCACACGTGTTGTATCCTAACGGAAAAGATGCCATCGTTACATACATCACAAACTCTGATGGTCCCGCCCAGGCGCCCAACGCTCACCTCAGCGTCCAATCACATCCTTTCACACATTACCATCTTACCCTCGTATTCCTCCCATATTTACAACCCCTGCCACTCACCGGTTTCTACTCCAACCTCAGTCCCGATGACTGGCCCCCTTGTTTTTATTTACCCCTGCAATTGCACAAAACCCAAGATTCTCAACGATTCCGCCTTGTCGGGCTTTTCTACTTTTTTTTTCTTCCTTTTTCCTCTCGTCTTCTTCGCCGGTTTCTCTTTCCGCTCAAATCCTGTACTTTTCTC